CTGATGTTGTATGAGAATAAAGTCTTAGGCCATCTCAATAATTAAATCACAAATAACTTATTTCTGTAATGCGGAGCGCGCGCTAGGTAACCGCCATATATTTCTTCTTTTCTTTTCTGTGTGCCCGCGTCGCTCGTACTAGCCAATCCAGGGCGCGGGGAATGGGTGAGGAAGGGGAAGGGAAAAGTGTCATAGCTGCCATATTATTATAAAAACATCCATCTACAAATCTGTTATGACGCTGGCGCAACCAATTATTGTATTTAATGAGTTAATATAAGGTTAACATAAGTTGATGTTAATAACAAGATAGTGTTATTGTAATACTTAATTACATTCGAATTATTTAATTAATGTTTTAGCTTCTACTAACTAACAAGATGTTTGCGATATAAGAATAAGTTTTGTTATGTATAAATTTATTTTTGCCCAGGCGGCAGTATGTTTAGAGCAATTCTAAATATGAAGTTTGTATAACTATTTTTTGAATTTTGAAACAGAATAATAATTTTGACAACACAGTAATTGTAAATCAATCAACAATTCAGGTCGTACGTGCACGTGTTGTAGCTTCATTAAAATAAAATAAAAATTATCTTCTGTCTGAATATATCGAATTATTGAAGCGACCAGCACAAAATACAGTGGCACGCTCTACACAGAGCCTACAGCTGTATGGATGTAGTTTTCTTTGTAAAAATGACAACATCCGGGATGTAGGAATAGGATCACGTAATTAAAATAGAAATTAGAGATGAATGATAATGTGGCAACCCAAAAATTTATTTACTTAATATTAGTAAGCCTTTACTTATAGTAATTGTCGTCAAATTTTATCACAAAGCTATCACACAGATTCTTCGTTTTGAATTCTTCCAATATTTCAGTTGACAAATTGTTATTGATGATGGCTGCACATCGCACATCTTTGGCAGCATCACAAAGTGGTGCTGATAAATCTTCAGTTACGTATGATGATGCAGATGAAGTTGACGAATATCCTGGAGAGCGGAGTAGTACGACTGTAGATTTCAGTTTAGGCAAATTTGAAGAGTCGTACTGTTTGATGCTAAGAATTCTTGCATATACAGATTGTACTATCGCTTTCACATATTCCTTTGTTTGTATTATACGACCGGCCATCATTTTGATATAAGCATCTATTTTTTCACTCCAAGAAGTGTGAGGGTGCAGAGTTTCATCTAAATCTGATGGTACTTCACCAGTTAGTATCGTAAAAATATGTTTTAAAATTCCAAGCTGCAGTTGGTCCTCTGTTGAGAACGCGCCTAGTTGTTGTTCAATTACTGGCTTGACATCTTCTGGTGCAGTTCCAAGGCAAAATATTGTACCCAAAAAACCTGCAATTTTTATAAAAATACCAAATCTTTAAGTATACACACATTACATTCGATTTCTCAAACGGTAGCATGCATAAAGGGAAAACTATGTAGCTAGAGCGTAATTTATTTTTGAATTTCTTAAGCTCCGTTATTTATTTAGAAATGGAAATGACTCTGGAATGGAAATGATTCTCGAAATTAATATCGACGCTTGAAAGGCAAACATGACTAAGCGACAATGCGTGAACTTTACAGTAGAGCAATTTAAAGTTGAAATATTTGGAAAAAAAAATATTTTAACGAATCTAACTGTAGGATTGAAATTATTTTAATAGACATAGATATAGTTTTTTTTTGCCCATCGAATATACTTAAAGACTATTGCCTATCATTTGTGTATATAGCAGTTATTGTCGCTTATATATATTGTCCATAATTTGATAAACAGGTAAAATTATCTGAATTTTATATAAAAGGTTTCTCGTCACAAGTAAAATTATCTAAGCCAGCATTGAAAGATTTGGAGTAACGTGTAAAACAATATGAGCTATCGTTGAAAGATTTTCAGTAACATGTA